TTCGAATCGATTCTGTCTAGAAAATTTACTAAAGCTATTTTAGAAAAGAAACTATTTAATCTTTCGTGAGGAGTAGTAGAAAGACAGAGTTTGATTCTAACAACTGTAAATCTCTAATTGATTACGTTATTTCTTGAATAATTTCTAAGATAGATTGACTTAAAATATTCATCATACGTATCTAACAAGATATCTGTTCTTAATTATTTTTGAAAATTTATAAAAGCAAATGACAAAAATTATATATATTTATATTTTTTTTGCTAAACTTCTTTAATTAATAGGTATGATCTGGTTTCTCTTTCCTGTTTCATTAATTATTTGTAATGATATAATGGCATATATGTTTGGATTTTTCTATGGTCGTACACCATTAACAAAATTATCACCAAAAAAAACATGGGAAGGTTTTATTGGTGGTGGTATATCAACGTTAGTATTTGGCTTTATCCTAGCTGGTATATTAAGTCATTATCAATTTCTTGTATGTCCATTAGAATATGATGATGACAGAATGAGTTTAGCAACATCATGTATACCATTACCATTATTTCAAAAAACAATATATACAATGCCAAAACCTTTTTCACTCTTTAAACGTACATTAGAACTTTATCCGTTTCAATTACATTCATTGGTATTATCATTATTTGCTTCGAGTATTGGACCATTTGGAGGATTTTTTGCAAGTGGATTTAAACGAGCTTTTCGTATAAAAGATTTTGCAGCAACAATACCCGGTCATGGAGGATTTGTGGTACGATTAAAAATTATTTATTCATATAAAAGCTTTATTTGTTTTTGTTTTTTTGCTTCCATATATATAGGATCGATTTGATTGTCAAATAATAATGGCTTTATTTACAAATGTTTATATATCAACATTTGCACGTGTTGCTTCACCAAATAAACTTTTACAACAAGTATTAGCATTAACACCTGAAAATCGTGAAGAATTTCTTCGTTTACTTCGTAATCATTTTAAAGAATGAAAAAAAAAACGAGAATTATAATATATTTTTTTTTTGTGTTTTTGATGTTGTTTGTATTATCTATTTAAATAGTCTGATTAATTTAACGTTGTTTTGTGTATTTAACAAAATTCACAGTATTTTTTCTTATGGGTATATTGTAAAACAAAAGAATGACAAACATTATAAACCTGCGTTTTTGTCCCTTCCTTTAATAGATATTATCAATAAAGGATTTAGTTTTATGCATTAATATCTATTTTATTGTTATATTATTTCAATGATATGTGTGTTTGATGGACACATTCTTATGTGAGATAATATAGCTGTAGGTATACTGATAATAATACGTGTTTGTCAAAATGAAACAAATATTTTTTTCTTTACATCATAAGACACTTCACAATATTTTATAAATACGTAAATATTCAACATCTTTGAGTAATTTAAATTGATTGATTGTTTCAATTAATACATTATAACTATTATCATCGAAATTATTAAAATATATTCACATCGAATAGAAATTTGTTAATGATTAAATTCTAATGTGGAGATATTGAATAAACAATATTAATATCACAAGTTTGATTTGAATTATAATCATACAAAAACATCTTAATACAATCGTTCAAATAGTACTTCATCAATTTTATGGTAGAGAAGTTAGCAAATTGTTATCTCGTTGGAGAAAGAAAATAGTTCTATGTAGGCAATACACCGAACTCGAGCGCTGAGCTGTAGACATTTTCAGCTTATTAGTAAAAGGAAATAGAACTAAGCCAAAAGAAAGGATTTCAGGATTGATTACAGTAGACTTACACGAGAGACTTGCGTGACCAATTTGCAAGTCTCTAAATATCAGTCAAAAAGAAAATCTGATGATAAATATGACGAAAATTGTATTTTGAAGAAAGGCAAAATTAATGGAGGAGCTGAATATAAATCGTTAATGAATGATTATGATAGTTAAAAAGAAAACTAGTGACTATCACAAGAATCGTAAACTTGTGATTTATAATAAATAATCTTGTTCTTTCTATATCATTGTTTTTTGTTGCTTTAATTAAGATTAAATATAAAATATGAACATAGTGAAAAGTTTCGATTGTTCAAATACATTTTTAAAAAAAACCCAAAATCTGATTGTATTACGAAAACATTCTCTTTAAGATCATTTCTGGATCTAGATATGTATATTGCAACATTACAACACGAATCAGATCTAATACAAGGTTGGTTGAATACAAAACATTCTTCGAATAATTGTGTCAGCCAATGGAAAAAAAGAACAACCGATTCGAATGCTACATTATTCTTGAAACTAATAGGCATTAAAATGGCTAAACATTCATATTATATAATACATCCATGAGTCCTATATTAATTAATATATATTTTTGTATTTAGATAAATCAATAAAATAAATGCTGTTTTAGGTACAAGTTCTAATGAACGACTTAAACCTTGTAAAATTTGTTTAGCAAAAAAACGTATTACTAATTATCATACGTATGAATAGTGACATCATATAAAGTATAAGTAATTAAAGGTTTTAAAGACAATAAAGATATCATTGTCGATTTTGTCTTACATAGATAATAATTATTTAACCATTCATATTGTTTACATGTTGTTTTTTTTCTAATAATAAATTTGATCGTGATAATGATAGGAATAATGGTTGAGTTAGGTCGAAAGCTATGACAATAAGAATTTCATATGCAGGATGATACTGTAAATAATCATATACAGTTATGTAATCAAAATTTTTAAAAAATATTCCATTTAAATTCAGCGTTTTATCATTTGAAATTTGTTCAAAATTTATCATATGTTACAAATGCGGTAGATAAGCTCCATTTGTATATCCAATACAAATTAAATGATTGTATAATTTCATATTTATTTGACCATTATAGAATATGATTACTAATTAGTTATATTATAATTGATATTAAATACAAAAATTTTGAATCAAATATAATAATCTCTTTTATACAATTAATAAATAATTCACTATCTTTTTCTTCATTAGATTTAAAAAAGTTTTTTACTTTTACTATTTTATTATTGATTTATAATTAAATATAATATATGAAATAGAATTTATCGAAATGATCAAAACCGAATTTCATACGGTGATTTCCAATAATTTAACATATGATCGATGAAGAAATTTGCTTTGTCATGATTTGTCTCTGCACTGTGTTCTAGATAAATTTTTACAGACAAAATAAAACTTGTTATTATCATGCCTCTTTTCTAATATATAAATGATCACTCATATAGAATGTTCGGAGAATTTTCCGTTTTCTTTTTAGTATTTTGTAAAAGAAAAAAAGAAATTTGCAGTCACCCAATGGACAAGTTTGCACTGGATCGAATGAACGTAAAAAAAGTGATTCTTGATCAAATTTCGTTTATGGATGGTTTCTAAGTCCATAAATGATTATTAAGTATTGAACAAATGCTGTAGAAGACGAAATATTTTCAATTCGAAAAGAATTCGTACATATATAGTCAATAAAATACTGTACACTGTTTTTTTTGTAAGTTTTCCTCCAAGGCTATGAATGCAAGTAATTTCTTTTTCTTTTTTCTTCTACACGCTCAATTACGTGTTTGTTATACTATCAAACAAGACTAGAATGACCGCATTTATGATAAGTAAGAAACATGTTTCTCTTTATCGTATTGTTTAGATTGAGTACCAGATTTTTCATTGCAGAATTCTGTTTTTGATCTATAATTCATTAAAATGATTAATATTTGTGTATGTCCATATCGTCAAGATCCGAATATTTAACATATAATCCAATGCTGCCAAATCTGTCCAACTTGTCAAGAATGTATTGTATTTCCACAGTTGACAGAACATCAAACAAAATGTCAATCAAAGCAAACAAAATAAATTTGTTAAAAAAACCATACCCATATTTTTTTTCCATTTTATCAACCATAAAAAATTTATTTATTTTCGGAAATGCGTCGTTGACATTTTTGATAGGCGGCGATACAACAAAAAAGAATGTCTGTGTCTCCAGTCAATGTTTTATCAAGTTCTTTCTCTCTCTTCCAGTAGAAAGAATAGATAAACATATTTAATAAAAAAACAACAAAACATTATTTTCTTTTTCGTTCTTCAGATTCTCTTGAAAAGCTTCAGGATATATTCTCTTTCTTGGCCTCGAAAGTAATCTATTTTTTCGATGTCAACCTTTATTAGCTCAAAAAAGACCTTCAACCATCCTCTTTCGTTAGACACACAAAATCAAACTTTTTATTGTTATGTAGATTCTAAACCAATGATTTCATGGTCAAAATATATTCCAGCATCATGAAAAAATAAAGATTCCAAAATATCGGGAAAAAAATGTGGTTTTTTTTTTTTCAAAATAAATTTTCGTAGTGAAAAATCAAAGTTTTTCGTCGACTGATTGAGTTAAAACTCTTTTTATGACAAATTTGATGAAATCAGAGTGTAATTTTTGTTTTTTGAAAAAATATAATATTAATGAATTTTAGCAGATTTTACAAAATTTTCATCGATCGAAAAATATTGACGAATTAAGCTTTTTCTCAGAATGTTCTCCGTATTTCAAAACAGAAGAAACAAGTTAGTCTCATTTGTCACACGAAAATTTTTAAACGAAAAAACTTTTGCTATACTCGTCAAGGTTTTGTTTATCGAGTCATTGTTGAAAAAACCCTGGAAAGGCGAAGGGTTGATGTTGATAAAAAAAAATAACGTTTCATCTAACGTCAACATTAAGTGTTCTATTCATCTCAGCAATAAAATCAGTTTCATAGAATTGAATAACTATCGCTAAGAACTTCTTCAATTCAATACTCTTTGAATAATTTTTTTTATACAATAAAACTCCGAATGTATAATAAATGGATCGATAGCATTGAATAACTTCACAGATCTTCGATTAAAAATTTTTGAATACATTTTTATACACAAAAAAAAATGTAAGACAATGACGTTTTCAAAAAAAAAAAAAGAAAGAAAAACTACAAATATCATTTTTTATCAATGCTTGGTGATGACCAACAACAACTCATAAGTTTGTCATACGTTGAATCTGATGAACTGCTTAATATATGAACGGTATTCTCTGATGATTTAGGTGTTATTTGATATTGTTGAAGTATTTTTTCCGTTAGAGTATAAAACATTTTTGATACATTCGAATTTGTGTCTGATTTTGCACTTGTTTCAAAATAATCTACATGATATCTATCGGCTAATTTTTGTCCATCCTGTGATGATATAACAATAGAATGATGAAGATCACTTTTATTTCCAACTAATATTCGTATAACATCATCAGGAGCATTGTCATCAATATTTTTCATCCAACGACTTACATTTTGAAATGAACTTGCTGATGAACGATCATAAACAAGAATTATAGCATCAGCATTACGCTATAATAAAAAGAAAATAATTATTTTGATTTAAATCGAAATATAATTTTTTTATCGTACATAGTAAGATCGAGTTATATTAAAAAATTTTTCTTGACCAGCTGTATCCCATAGTTGTAATCTAACTAGTTTGCCTCGTAACGTGATTGTTTTAACTTTAAAATCAATACCAATTGTTGGTGTGAATGTTTCAGTAAATATGTTATCTAATAAGAAAAGTCAATATTAAAAAAAACTAACAATTAAAATCCATTTCTTTTTCTGTGTTGACCTTGATTTTATTTTTAGTAGTAGATTTTATTAGATTTACTTGCACTTCTGTTTATCGAAATATATAATATGACAGGCAATGAATGTCTTCTTCTCGTAAAATTAGAAATTATCTTATTTGAAAAACTTTTATGGTTTCGCGAGAAGTAATTAAAGGATCTATTTCAACGTAAGATTTAATTCTTTTGAATTTAATAATTCGCAAATATCAATTTCGATTAATTGATATTTAATTCTACAATATATTGCTCTTATTTATATTATTAGTTTTAATTTACTATTGATCAAGTTCTTGCAGATTAGTTTCCTACACATAATGTAACATAAAAATATTGGACTTTAATTTTCAATAATAGAATATCGAATCGAATATTCTTTTTCTTTCTTTTTTTGAGAGTAAAACATGAAGTATTGATCAAATAAACCAATTTAAATATTTATTCTCTCTGTTTTTAAAGAGTAATTTTTCAATATAAAAAAAAAAGTGTGAATAATATTAACTTCAAATTATTATTCATAAAATTGTTGAAATTGCTCATTTCGATACAATGATGAATTTAGAAGGGGAACTCGATACGATCAAGCCTTCGTTTCGTACTAATTTTTGATTTTTTCGTTCTTTGACTTTGCTCGTCTACATTCAAAAAAAAGATTCGATCCGTTACTATTTTGAAAAAATGCATAGAACTAGTTGAGAAAAATACATTTAACATATCCCATACTATAAAAATTCCTGATAATTTTTATCTATAAACGAAGTACAAAAAATTTTTAAAGTTCATCAAAAACATGATCTTGTATAGTATATAACTGATTATTAAATTATATTTTATAGTCTGACTTCGTTATTATTCAAAATAAAAGATAATTGAATTTGATATGACTTTCTGTTTGTGTGAAACAAAACTGAACACATGTTTGTATGTCATTTCAATAATTCTTATAACGTTTTCCATTTATTCTATTGAAATAATCCTAAAATATTTATTAATCAAAGGCCCATAGTGATTTATTTTCAAATGTTTAACCTCAAATGATCTCATAAAAAAGCGTATTTTATCATAGATATGAAAAAATGTCAATAAAAAAGAAATTGATAAGACCATATAAAGAACTTTGAATCTTAACCTTAATCATATTGAATGCGTGGTTACATCTGTTAAACAACTTTTTAAGTACATACCAGAAAAACGAAACATTAAACTTGTCTTTCCGACTGCACTGTCACCAATGAATAAAATTTTATAAGGACGATTAGATTGGGATTGATTCATTGTCATGTTGCTTTACCTAAAATTATCAAGACTATAAATATATATATACGTATATGTTTGCCACATCATCTTAAAAACTGTGAATCATTTTGAATATAATAAAAACTATTCGAACAAATAGGAGACGTATTTGTTTTGTACTAAACATCTGACAATATAGAAGAAGTTAAAAAAAGAACGAGAAATGACGAGAAGAAAAAAAAATCCAACATGGCTTTCAACAAATAGCATTGCTAAGCACTGAATAGCTGGAGAGAATGAGAAGGCATGAAGAAATGAATAAAAAGCCATGAAGATTGTTTTTATTACGTACGTTTATTTTTACGTACATACAAGGGAAAGTCTATAACGAAATCTTGATAACAACAAATCAATTTTCCATATGACTTAGTCTAGCTTTTGAAACTATATCGTGACAAAATGTCAGACATAAATTAAATAAATAAGCTCAAATAAAAATTTTATCAGAATAAATTTTTTTTTAGTTACGAATTTCTTTTTCATTTTTAAAATAAAAAGAAAGATACGATAATCGATATTTTTCATTTAATAATATTTACATTGTATCAATGATAGAAAAAAATAATAACTTAACAAAACTTTTATTTTATAATGAGCTTGATTTGAAAAAAAAAAACTTGTATAAATACGTTAGAGAAATTTGAACACTATTTAAATAAAGTGAAAATTTATTTTTTGTTATCTGTTTAAAACAAGAAAAAAAAAGTTCCCTTCTATCAAATCTTTACACTTACAATCAACAGTTGCAAACTGAAACCACAAGCTATAGAAAACCGATAAGAATGTATTTAAATCACTAAAAGAAACCCGTTTATGATCAGACGTCAAATAAATTCAAGATCTCATGCAACCAAAATCTACTTTTGCTTGACATCTACTGATTATATAGTCTATCTAATCTCAGTCCCATACAGAAAACAACAAAAAATTCCCATGTATGTATCTTTATATATATGTTGAGTCACTATATCTGACTCATATGACCAGGATAAATCCCATCCCATCATAATTCGTAATTAGAACATTACGACTCATAAAAATTGTTGAAATCTTTCTTTTGATTCAGGTTTTAAAAAAATAATAAATTTCAATGCTTAGCAGTTTATATCTTAAGAAACTTGTACAAAAAACTATATAATACAGAATCTATCGACAAAAGCTTTTGTTTATTTAGATTTGTAATTCATCGAAAATTTTTCCAGATTCTCATATATGAATTTATTTGATACAATTCTTTGTGATCCATTTTTAGAGAGAGCATCGACATTGATTGTTCTTTCCTTTCGAACTATTTTTCGATTTTTCTCAGCAGTAGTTGTTCAAAAATGAGTCGATACAACCTCTAATTTGATCTAAAAAACACATTTCATGATTATGATCGCCTCATGTATCAGACCCCTAGATCCACCACTGAGAAGGCTAAAAAGACATCCTTGAATTTCACTATTATTTCTCTTGATTAATATATTCCACGTGAGCGACTTGTGATCTAACAGTAAGTATGACTCTTTTTTTGGCCGTCGCTATGACCTCAACTGTCGTTGTATATGTCTGTCAGTCGGTCAGCTTTTATCATAACACCTGTTAAACTCTATTGCTAGCACTTTTTAAGATAAAGAAGTTAAATCAAACACTGAAGCGTTAAGTAAATGGATGTAATCATTGACAGACTCATTCTTTCTGAGATACGATTCGTTTTAATAATTCATTTTGATATTCATTGGTTAACTTCATACAATAATATGTGGTATTTTCAACTACATACTGTTGTTTATACGTGTGTGTATTCAAAAATGAAACATTATTTCTTAAGAAATATTATTGTGCCACAAAAACGAGAAAACAAAAAAATTTTCTTTTGTTACTCTTAGGTGCAGCGAACATCTGTGTAGTATATCTAGTTTTTTCAAATTTTATTAAAAACAGAGTGTCTTTAACAAAAAAAACCAAAATTAAAAAACTTTAACAAATACAAAAGTTTCACTGTAAACATTTATTTAGCTCCACATTCAAATAATTCTTTTGCTTCATTAATCTTAGCAGCAATATATGGTGATCCACCTATTATCAAAATAATCAAAACTAAGATTTAAAAAAAAAACAAAACAAAGAAAAACAATCTACCTCGATCAGGATGATTGAGAACAATTAATCGCTTATAAGCATCGCGTATTCGTATTTTACTCGTTGTTGGACTTCATAAAACAAAATTCACAAATACAAAAAATTAAAAAACATTCTAATTTTGTATTCATACCTAACACCTAATATAAGTGCAGCTTCGCGTCGATTCATTTTTGCATCTATTCATAAACAATAATCAAATTCTCAAAAATAATTGCTTTTTCTTTTTATTGTACTCTTACCAAAACCACCCTTATAATATTTCGACTAGAAAATAACAAAAAATAAATAAATCTTTGATTTTAATAAACATCAAAATAAATGATATTTACTGAAAGTCCTTCTGCAATAATACCACTTGTTTTTGTTAAATTTTCAGTAATTAACTTTCCATATCGTGCAAGATAACGTCCTTTAAGATAAATACAATTTAAACAATTTTTAACTCAATTAGTCTCCTACCAGAAAATCCAATTACAGCTAAACTAAGACCAACAAAAACTGTTGTACTCTATTAAATATAATTTTTTTTTTATTTCTATTCAATCTTCAAAACAAGACTCACCATATTATATCTACAAATAAAAAAGAAGACATATATATGAGATTACTCTTTGTTTTCTTCATTTCCATCTGACAACATAACAACAAATTTAATAATATAACAACAACAACAACAAAAAAAAAGAAAGATTAATAATATCCTCGTGGAGAGATAAATGTTAAAAAATCACCAAGAGGACCCATTTTTGTACGTAATAATTGAAATGTTATATTCCATGCTACAATAATAATTATCCAAATAACTGTACCAATTGCACTTCGAATAACATCTGAAAACAAATATTTGTATGTCATAGAAAAAGATTTCTTTTTTTTTGTTTCATTTACATGTACGAATTTGTGCTTGTTGAGGATATGCTGCAACTTTAAATGCTTGTTTATAAAACCATATTGCATTAATAAGCCAAAGAAGTGGTAAACAAGCAAAACCAGCTTTTAGCAAAAAAACAACAAAAATTTATTAGAAAAATCATTTAAAAAAAAAATTCATACCTCTGTAATATTTACGACAAATATTTAATCGTTCTTCAGGAGATTTTTTTGATAATGAAACCATTTTTTGATCTGATGCAATGCTTTTTTTTCCCCTATGGAATACTTTCGATTTCGTCAGCAATCGTTTTTATGTAGTTTGACAATCTTTGTCTCTTCAAAGTTTAGATTGGTTATTTTGAAATGTTGTTTCAAGGCGGCCTCTCCTTATTTGTATCATCATTGGATACAAGGATAATGTACGAAAGAAACAAACAGACTATTCCTTTTTTTTTTGCTAAAAAGATATAGTGGTTTCAAATGGACTAAATGAGTTCAAAATATATTAAGAAATATGATTGATGTTCTGTTTGGTATCAAAGATGATATTACCTAAAGCAAAGAACTTCTATCAATTGCTTTTCTAATCTTCTCTATTTGTATTCAAAATAATTAATATATTGCAAATTTTTACAAATCTATATTCTTAAATATTTATTAATAATCGATAGTGAAATATATTGCAATAGTATAAATTTCCTTTTGTCATAGTATATGTAGTAGATTTTTATTTAAAATAATATTCATCATAAATATTAAAAACTCAAATTTTCGAATATTTTATGATAAACATGTAACAGAAAAGATGAATCACAAGGACATTTTTTATACTGTAGTTAAAAGTAATTTTTGAGTCATAGATTAACATAATTCTATGTCTGTTTAGTTTTAATTATTTGATAATCTGAAACAATTGGTGCTATATGATATGATAATAATATCAAATAGATAATAAAATACAATTTCCTATTAATGTAAATAGACGTACAGCTGTTACAATATATGATTCATGTAAATGTATTTACTATGTGACGCTTGAAAGTATAGAAGAGAACGACATAAAAAACAGAACAGATAAGAAGCACGCCCGTGTGGCTCAGTGGCTAGAGCACTGGTCTAGTAAACCAGGGGTCGACAGTTCAATTCTGTCCTCGGGCATAAAAAAATTCCTTTTTTTTTTTCGATAAATATTCAGTACTGTGTTTTTTGCGATTTAATCTTCACTTCTTTCAAAGACATTGAATTATATAAAAAGAATTACCATCAACTAGGTACCTCTGCTGGTTACTCCATTGATAAATAAAACAATGAAATACATTATTAAATACAGCTCATGTTGACATAATTGAATCACAACAAAAATTCCATTTAAGTTAGAACAGATATTTTATATTGAATAAAAATGATGGTAAAACTGGTTTTTATTCGAATTCGATCACTCTTTAGTTAAAAAAACAACACAAATGACTGAAAATGTAACACTGACAATTAGGAACTTGCTTTTTCTAAAGAAATTATCCAATTTGAATACTTTTTTTTCTAATTTTCTAAAAAATTTTTTATTGTTATTCAACATCAAAAACTTATTTGATTAAATTTAGAGTTAAAACAATCAAGTTTTGTGCAGCAAGAGATAGAAGCAAGTGTCTTATATCATTCGAATTTCCAGATCGTGAGCTACTAAAATACTTATTTAAGTTTTTCTAGATTGTGTTTTATTGTTGAGAACATGGAATTCTTTTTCACTTGGTGATAACATTAGGCAAAAGGATGAAAAAGGTGCTCGCATTTGGTAGCTTTTGTTACAATGATATAATTAAAAGCGACATCAATAAAATATTCGAAACTAACGTCACCAACAATATGTATTCACACATGTTTTAGTAAAAGCTGTGATGATCTCTCGCAGATCTATTTTTGGAAAATTGAGCCTCTAGCTCCTCAGGAGTCGATTTTTCGCAGAAATCAAACACTCTCAGAACACA